GCACCAAAAGGGGGGCTCCGAATCCGGAGACTTGGTTTGGCCAATCATGATATCCACGAAGGGCGCTCCGAATCCGAAGTCTTAGTCGGCCCTAAGGTGTCATGCACCAAAGGGGGCTCCGAATCCGGAGACTTTAATCGGCCCTAAGGTGTCATGCACCAAAGGGGGGCTCCGAGTCCAGAGACTTTAATCGGCCCTAAGGTGTCATATACCAAAAGGGGCTCCAAATCCGGAGACTTAGTTTGGCCAATCGTGATATCCACAAAGGGCACTCCGAATCCGGAGGCTTAATCGACTCTAAAGTGTCATGCACCAAAGGGGGGCTCCGAGTCCGGAGACTTTAATCGGCCCTAAGGTGTCATACACCAAAAGAGGCTCCGAATCCGGAGACTTAGTTTGGCCAATCGTGATATCCACGAAGGGCGTTCCGAATCCGGAGGCTTAATCGGCCCTAAAGTGTCATGCACAAAAGGAGGCTCCGAATCCGGAGACTTAGTCGGCCCTAAAGTGTCATGCACCAAAGGGGGCTCCGAATCCGGAGACTTAGTTTGGCCAATCGTGATATCCACGAAGGGCGCTCCGAATTCGGAGGCTTAATCGGCCCTAAAGTGTCATGCACCAAAGGGGGCTCCGAATCCGGAGATTTTAATCGGCCCTAAGGTGTCATGTACCAAAGGAGGCTCCGAATCCAGAGACTTAGTTTGGCCAATCGTGATATCCACGAAGGGCGCTCCGAATCCGGAGGCTTAATCGGTCCTAAAGTGTCATGCACCAAAGGGGGCTCCGAATCCAGAGACTTTAATCGGCCCTAAGGTGTCATGCACCAAAGGGGACTCCGAATCCGGAGGCTTTAATCGACCCTAAGGTGTCATGCACCAAAGGGGGCTCCGAATCCGGAGGCTTAGTCGGCCCTAAGGTGTCATGCACAAAAGGGGGCTCCGAATCCGGAGACTTAGTTTGGCCAATCGTGATATCCACGAAGGGCGTTCCGAATCCGAAGGCTTAATCGGCCCTAAAGTGTCATGCACCAAAGAGGGCTCCGAATCCGGAGACTTTAATCGGCCCTAAGGTGTCATGCACCAAAGGGGGCTCCGAATCCGGAGACTTAGTTTAGCCAATCGTGATATCCACAAAGGGCGCTCCGAATCCGGAGGCTTAATCGGCCCTAAAGTGTCATGCACCAAAAGGCGCTCCGAATCCGGAGACTTTAATCGGCCCTAAGATGTCATGCACCAAAGGGGGCTCCGAATCCGGAGGCTTAGTCAACCCTAAGGTGTTATGCACCAAAGGGGGGCTTTGAGAAATGAATTGAGCGACGAAGAAAAATGGTTTGCATTGCAGAAGTGATATATATACAAGTATCAAAGCCCACAGGTCGGGTCAGTGATAGGATTTTCATAAAATCTCTGCTTGTGCCGATTGCGGGGAGCCACGGATTTCTTCAATGCCACGGGCTGTCGGGAAGCGCACAAGCTGATGATAAGTGCTTGGAACGGCCTTCATAATATGTAACCAGGTTCGCCCCATGATGACATTACATGGCGAAGGGAGCTTTACGACCAGGAATTCTACTTCGACCGTTCTGGAGCCCGCTCGAATAGGTAGTATGATCTTCCCTAACGGGTACTCAGGATTCGTATTAAAGCCGAACAATGGGTGAGGCGCCGGAGACAGATCTGGCTCGTTGAAGCCGAGTTTGATGAAAGTTTTGTAATACATAACCTCTGAAGTACTCCTTAGGTCTATGAGAATGCGTTCAATGGTGAACCGATTTACGCGTAATTTGATGACCAACGGATCGATGTGGGAGGCTGTTGTGCCGCTAAGATCGGAGTCATTGAAAGTAATTGTCGGAGCTTCTCTGGGCCATTCGGTCGAAATACGTTGCTTTCGGGGGATTGGATGCGATTGAATTGTGTGCACGGTTGGGGATGCAGGCAGGCTGTAGATTATATGGATCACGCCAAGTGGAGGTGAGTCCTGCCTCAAGGCTAATGCCTTGATTGGCTTTCCCTCTCTCACGTACTGTTGTAGTCGGCCGTCTTGCACCAGTTCTTCCAAGTGATCCTTTAATGCGTAACAACTCTTGGTTTCGTGGCCGTGATCTTTGTGATACTCGCACCGCCTATCCCTTCTTCGCGTGTCGGGTGGCCCCACCATCTTTGACAACCATTTGAAGAATGGAAGGTGTTGGACTTTGGTCATTATTGCAGTGATTGGTTCTGACAACTCTGTGTACTTCTTATCGGCACGCCTCGAGCACCTGTTGTTGACTTGCAGTTGTTCATTCGTCCGATGGGAACACTGATCGCTTGATCAGCGAGAGTCCCGCCTTTTGTCTCGTTCAGCGCGTTGTCGTGGCTCAGGGCTCGGAGGTGGCACAAAACTTATTGGTTGAGCAATTTCAAGGGGGGCTGTTTTGTTGGACATTTGTCTGGCTTTTATTCTCAAGGCATCATCTTCCTCTTCTAGTCAAGGAACTGCGAAGAGCGCTGTCAGGGTGTAGTCCCATTTTGAAGGCGGTGATGGCCATAGAGTTGTTGCAAGCGTCATCAACGAGATTGAAGCACTCCCAATAGCGCGCCGAGTACGCTTTGAGCGTTTCTCCTGACTTGATCTGCATAGCCCAGAGAGAGTCAGCCTGTTTCGGCTGTACCTCATTGGTGATGAACCTGGCCCTGAAGGATTTCTGTAATTGATGGAAGCTTTTGATCGAAGCCGGCTCCAGCTTGTCACCTGACAGCTAATGGCCCCAGGCTGCTGGGGAATATGCGGCACATGAGGGCTTCGTTGTCTGCATGCAATGTCATGGCCTACTTGTAGTGACGGATATGATCAGTGGGGTCTGATTTTCCGTCGTAAAGAGTGAATGACGGAGCTTTGAACTTCTTGGGCAGGGCTACCCTTGCAATCCGTCGGACAAAAAGATCATGCTGGTCCTCTTCGTCTGAACTGCTTCGTCTGCGCTTGTTCCTTGTATGTAGACTCTTTTCGAAGGAGCTGGAAGTTTCGGATTGTCCCTTCTTGTTGAGCTCCGTGGGTAATGAGTTGGAGTCGCTATCGGTATCCTTTGGTTGGGATCGAGGTCGTTGTTCACCTGCCCTTGGAGGTCGTTTGGGATCTTGGCGCACGGCTTCTCTGGATTTCGCTACTTCCAGGGCCCAATCTTGACGGAGACGTTCATTTTCAGCGATCATGTTCTCCAGCCTTTGTTCATTCTACTTTGCTTGTTCCATGATCGCTTGCATTGTCTCTTGCGCTGAAGTCGTTGGTGAGTCGAAGTTCAAGGCGCGTCTTGCAGCGATGGTTTCCTTTCCGAGCATATTTGCTGGAGTGAGGTCATCTCTCTGTGCGGTCTCGTCAGTGGCTATCGAAGGATCTTCAGTCACGCCTGCCATGGATGTATTTGAGTATTCCAACAGACGGCGCCAATTGTGGAGAAGTGGTTTGAAAATACTCTTCAGATCCTGGGAGACGCTAGTGATCCTCAGCTAGTTACCTGAAAATATACAAACACTCCGGTCGGGGGTACCGGAATTAACACTCCGACGCACAAGTCAATTCAGACACTCAGGATAGCTTGTTTACTAAGTTAAGTGAAGTGATTCTTACATACCTTTCTTAATCCATTGTTCCTGTGTTTATACCTGTTCCTTTTGATCCTCGGGGCCAGGGCCTACTTTTTAATCATTGTCCTTTCTCTTATCCGGCTCTAAGGATCTACACTTATTCGGCACATATAATATATTCGGCTTCCCATTCCCGTAGGATACAGCCGATTAATATCAGTCTTCTAAGGTACGCACCTTCTGATTCTGCCATTATTCGGTTCCCACAATGCACATAAATAATCCCAAATTATTTAATATAATAGTGATAATCCTCTTGATTTCATTATTGACTAATATAAATTTATTATTTTTTGCAGATGATATCGTGCTATGGATGAGACTAGACGAGAAATATTCAGAATGATGTGTCAAGGTATATGCTTTTTGCAGATGATATCGTGTTAGCGGATGAGACTAGAGAAGGAGTTTAACACTAAGTTGAAAACTTGGAGAGAAGCATGTGAATATAAAGGATTTAGGATAAGCCGAACTAAGTCAGGATATATGGAGTGTAATTTTAGTAACAGTAACAATGGAAGCAGAGGAGAAGTGAAAATTGAGAACCAATAACTACTTAAGAATGAACATATTTGTTATATATGATCGATTATCACAATGGTTGGGGAGATTGAAGCTAATGTGATCTATAGAATTAAGGCAGAGTAACTTAAGTGGAGAAGTGCGTCTGAGGTACTGTGTGATAAACGAATACCCACTAGACTAAAAGGAAAACTCTATAGAACAGCTATTAGGCCAGCGATGTTGTATGAGACGAAATGTTGGACAACTAAGTAACAATATGTTGATAAGACGAGTGTTGTTGTGATGAGGATGCTAAGGTGGATGTGTGACAAGACTAGAAATACATAATTAGGAATGAACATATTCGTGAATGGGTAGAAAGATAAGTTAAGAGAAAATAGATTGAGATGGTTTGATCATATACAACGAACACCAACAGAGACAGTATTGAAGAGATGCGATACAATGATAATATATGGAAGTGTTAGGAGAAGGGATAGACCTAAATTGAAGTGAGCGAGTGCAATAAATAGAGATATGAGTCTCTTTGACTAATCAAATGGCCGTTAATAGAATCAAGTGGAGAACAAAGGCTAATAGAGCTGACCCTATTTGATATTGAGGTTTTGTTTGATTTGGTTTGGTTATAAATTTATTGTTTTTTTTCATTATTCGTTTTTTTTTTTTTTAATTAAAGTACATGATAAAATTTCCCCTTTGCTAAAAGATTTTTTTTTGCTACACTTATTTTGGCCACTCCTAAAACAAATTTCTATCTACATCCCTGATTGCAACGGCTAGTAAATATATATATATATATACACAAACACACACATATATAAATTTTATGAAATGAGGAGAGTGAACCTGAGGGATTTGGGTAGTTTTGCCACTTCCTGTTTCACCAACGATAATGGTGGTGGCATGAGTCTCCACCAGATAGAGAATGGAAGTTCGGTACCTGAACACCGGAAGTCTCTGCCTTTGCTTCTCTATGCTAACATGGTTGTATCTGTGTGAACCCAGTATACAAATCCACACAGGGTTACATACAATTCATGAAAAAATGTACAATTCAACCAAAAAAAAAAGGGATTACCCAGATGAGGAGGAGCGAGAGGCAGAGTAGAGAAGAATGCCGCCTTCTTCATCGTCGAGAAGGGGAGGTCTCTCGGTACCTGGTTTCCAAAATTGAGCCATATATATGTGTGTGTGTGTGTGTGTATATGAATATGTGTGTTCTTGGTATGGAAGAAGGAGAGGAAGAGAAGAGGCTCGAATAACACACAGACGATGAACGCCGTGAGACTGAGAAGTGTGAAGTTTGACACTTGACAGACTGATATCGGGTAGGGTAGGGCAATAACCCTCTCAGACGATTGTGGGTCGACCCGACCCTTATTCCTTGTTTATGAGATCAATCAAGATTGCTAGTGGAGGCATTTCCCGATCCATTAAAATTTAAGAGTAGTTTGGTAATGATTTTTTTAAGTTGATTTTTAAGTTTTTTTTATTTTTTTAGCCAGAAATTTTTTTGTTTGTTTGGTTTTCTTGTTTTATATTTTTGATTTTTTGACTTTGAAATGACAAATTTTTTTGGTTTTTTAACTTTTTTTTTTTTGTCTTTTTATGATTATTTAGCTTTGGAAGTTTGCCAAATCAGGGCTTAATGGCCTGAATTAACCCGTTAAAAAATTAACGATTTCAATAGTTGAGGTAGATTAATGCAAATATACTTTTCTCAATTCATCCAAGTTTGGATAAATGAAAGATGGGAAGTCATACCAATCCAATCTCATTCGTCAACACTTTTAAGAAAATTATGTTATATTTTTATATTTTTTATGCTAACAAAAGGACCTTTGTAATTATATTTGCGATGTATCAAATATAAATTTTGCGCATTTATTTTTATTATAAAAAATGAAGAATATAAATTTTTGGGCCTAGAATAATAAAAAAAATAGTTCAAAAATGCCAAAAATAGTAAAGACTAAATTCCCAAACCAATATGCTGCCAACTTGCAAGGTCCGTTCAATCCGCAGCTGCTAACTAAGCAAACATATGCAAATTTATTTTTTCCCAAGTCACCTATGTTTGGACAAATGATAGATAAAAGGCTACCCAGTCTAAATCTGTGAGCATTCTTAATTTTATTCACTTTTTTTTTTCTAGTGTTTTGAAAAGTTGATAATAGTTAACTTTTTGACTTTTTTGTAACTTTTTAACTTTTTTGGTGTAAAAAAATAGAGAGATGATATGACTTAAAAAAGCTAAAAAACTAAAAAGTTGACTTTTTTGGTGCTTGCCAAAATGCTACCGAGAAAAAAAAAAGTTTGTTTGTTTTTTACTTTATTTAAAATAAATAAAATATAACAAATACTAAAAATGAAAAAATAAAACAAATACTAAATGCTAAAAAACGATTTGATTTTTTTATTTGTTTTGATAATGAAAAACCCCAACCTCACCTTTTATGATCGAAATACCCAGATACCTATGACAACCAATATTATTTGTAATCTATTTGGTTAATTGGAATGAATGTGAATTGTAATGGGTGATCATACTTTTAGTCTAGCATCTCTAATCCTTCACATTTTCTATTATTAAATTTTAATTTAATTTAAATTTGTTCAAAAAATTATGTCAAATTCTTTCAAAAAAATATTCATCAAATCAAAGAAGAGTAATTTTTTTTTAAAATCAAATTAACAACTTATCAAATTTGAATTTTGTCTCAGGCGTGTTCTATTGCAAAACTCTTATGAATAGCAGTACGAGCACGAGCATGAGTTGTGCAACTAGATATTTTCATTTTTTTTTTCTCCTCTGTCCTTCTTGTAATATCTTTCCTTTGTTTGGTATAAATTTTTTTGTTGGATGAGCTTTGTAAAAGTGCTGTTTGACTTTTTTTAACAGATTTTTTGTTGATCAAAATTTTTTTTTTTTGAATTTTATGAAAATTTAAAAAGATGAAACATTAGAGATTTTTTTTCTTTTTTCTTGGGGGGGGGGGGGAATCAAATTTGAAGAAAAGAGAAATTTGAGATAAGATGGAATTTTTTAAAAAAGATTTTGATAAAAAATTGAATTACTTATATCAAATTAAGTTTTTTTTATTATTATTATGAAATTTGAAATCAAAATAGATATAAAAAAATAAATAAAAAAATTGTGAAAGGTTGGAGATGGCCTTATGAAATTCTCATTCTCTGGGTAAATCAAAAGTAAAAATTTTATTTCAATGAATCAAACATAATAAAATATTTTTGTTTGACTATATGCCTAGGTGGTTGCATTTGGTCAAAATACATCCTCAAGTAATCATATGGTTAACCTGTGATATTTTTAATCAGAATCATAATTTATTCAAGAAAATCAAATCTTTGCTCAAATTGGGCTCAAGAAAGGAGCCTTTACAACATGATTTGTGTGAGTGATCAAGAATCACACAAATAAGATAACAGCTTTCAATGATAAATTAAATAAAAACTAGAGATAATTTTATATTGTTTAAACTCTTTCAAAAACAAAGTCTTACTAATCAATTGTCTTGCCATCAATTCATAATAACCAGAAAAATAATAAAAACAAATGTTGTGGATCTTTATATAAAAATTCTTTACATAAAAATTCAGTCCATGTGTAAACCAAAAGGAAATTTGTAAAACTGTTTGAAACTTTAGCATCCCCCATAAAAACCAACTTCTAAATATTGCTAAATAAAGCTATCATTGCAGGCATTACATCATGATTGTCATCTTAAACTTCAAAGTTGGTCCTTCAATGTTTGTCACGAAAGCTATTAAAGCAAAATCCATCATATCCTTGTGTTGGTAGTTGTGCCTTTAAATACCAAAAATTATGTTATTCCTATGGTACATTCTTTTTAAATTGAAAAAAAAATTCATGTAAGAAATACCAAATTACTTGTAGTAAATCAGTCATTTTTTTTTTTTTTTGGAACAATAATCAGTCATTTTAGTAGGCCCTTATTGATTTTTGAATAGACTGTAAGTAATAAGATCATTTTTCTAATACATATTTTATTTAAAAATTGTACGAAAGAAACATAAAAATTATCCCGCTAATAAAAAAAAACAAAACAAAGCACAAAATAAATAATAAAAAAACACAAGTTAAATAATGAGAACTTATGAGAGACTAACCTGTCTATATTGAGATGTTTGTATTAGTTGTGACGATTGATGAAATATTGTTTGCGCAGTAGGAACATCCATACTTGAGTGAGCACTGAGTTGCTATTGTTTTTTTTGAATTGAATCATTCCGTAGAGAGAAAACATATCAATTACAACACTTGTAAAATAGGAAGACAAATTATTTTATAGTACATAAGAACACATTAAAATAAAAGGAAGGCAAATGATTTTATATAATAATAATGATACCGGTGTGAAGTTCGCTGATGGAGAAAATTCACTTTGTTCAACAAGATCATACTTTGGGTTAACATGATTTGAGAATGGACTTCCATGATATTTTTTCTTCTTAGGCCTCGTTTGAAACATACTATTTTAGTAATTTTTTAACTTTTTGTCTAAAATATGAGATAAAAAAATTAGTATATTTGGGATAATTTTTTAATTTTTTATAAAAATATATACAAAATAGTAGAGAGACAAGAGAATTTTTTATTTTTTGATATAAGTTATTGACTTTTTGATTTTTTAATAAATTTTTGATTTTTAAACTAAAAAATGATGTTGTCAAACGAAGTCTTAATAGCCATTTCAAGAGCACTTTTTGGCCTTTTGCTAGACTTGCTATTAGTTCTCTCTTTAACTTTAATATCTCTAACTCTTTAACAGATCCAACTAATTCAAAATCTTTTTAACAATAATTTTATTAAAAAAACCAGCCATAAGCCATGTTTGTTTAATTTCATATGTGACCTTTTTTTTTTTTTTGGATCAAATGTGATGAGATTTGATTAGCAATTTTAAGCGTGTCACAACTATGTGCATGAATATGCTACATCATATTTATTTTGGGTAAATTATAAATATATTTATTGAGATTTGATTAAAATATAATTTGTTTCTTATAATTTTGAAAATTACATCCGGTTTTTTAAAATTTTTAATTTATTAATAAATGGTCATTTTTATTAATAAATTATCAAATTAATTAATAATTTTTAACAATAGCATAAATTTATTTCAATTAACCAAATAAGGTGAATATTTTTGTTTTGTTATTACATTCAGACAACAAAAAATGGCACAAGAGTTGTGCAAGTATCAAGCATCAGTACGATGCAGACTAATAAATGGTTGTGAAACGTTAGAAATTCATAATTTAGATCTCTAAATTTATTGATATGGCAAGTGAAACCTTATATAATTGAATGTATGAAAAATTAAAAATTAACATTTGTTATATTATACTATTATAGCCTCCGTTTGGCGAGTTAGGTTATGGGTTTTTTTGGCTATTTTAGCCACAAAAGACAAAATAGGCTATTTTAGTCACAAAAAATAAAATATCACATCCAATCCATAATCATTACACTCTTCTCTCACAAAAAAAGTCAAAAAAGTCAAAAAGTCAAAAAGTCCTTCCCAAACCAAGCTTTTTAGCCCAGGCTAAAATAGTCAAAAAAATCAAAAAGCCAAAAAGCCAACCCACTTCTCAAACCAACCCTATGGGTCAAATTAAGATAGGCTTTTTAAAGGTCTCAAACGTTCTCCTAAATAGTTACATATGCTCTCGTTTGGGATGAGTTAATTTAGACTAATTTTTTAATTTTTTTGAATATTTTAGTCTGGCTAAAAAAGTTGCATTGAAGATAAATTTTGATTTTTTTATATAATTGATTTGATGGTTGTAAGAAAAAAAGTGAAATAATTATAATTTATATATAATATTTTAGATTCGCTTGGAAAAAACTTTTTTAGTCTGACTTTTTAACTTTTTTACTATTTTAACCTGGCTAAAAAAGTTTTATTTGATATGAACTTTTGGCTTTTTTTTAATTTTGTGAGAGAAAAGTAAAAGGGAAAACTATTGATAAATCACATTTAGAAGTATTTTAATCCAAGAAGTCCATGAATGAATTTTTTAACTCATTTAGTCTCATGTATGTATAGTTTTATTCCATAAAGTCTTTTTTCTTGATTTACACTATTTTCTTAGACATTTATGCCCTTATATTTAATTTTGATACCCTTATAAATATTTTTTGAACGGTTAGCAATTTTATGATATGAACATTCATGTTTTAAAATTCACATTGGTAGGAATGTAAAATTGGCCCGTGGGCGGCCCGAAACTCGTCTGCGAGCCGGGGCTGGCCCGGCCCGTTGACAATGTGAATATTCACATTGACATGTTAACATTCACATTAATAGGAGTGTAAAATTGGCCCGCGTCCCGTGGCGGCGTGAAACCCACCCGCGGCCCAGGGCGGGCCCGGTTCGGGCCGTTGATAATATGAATATTCACGTTGACATGTTAACATTCACATTGATAAGAGTATAAAATTGGTCTGCGGCCCATGGGCAGCCAAAAGCCCGCCCACAGCTCGGGGCGGGCCTGGCCCGGCCCGTTGACAATGTGAATATTCACATTGACATATTAACATTCACATTGATAAGAGTATAAAATTGGCCAGCGTCCCGTGGGCGACCAAAAGCCCGTCCGCGGCCCTGAACGGGCCCAGCTCGGCCCGTTGACAATGTGAATATTCACATTGACATGTTAACATTCACATTGATAGGAGTGTAAAATTAGCCCGTGCCCCGTAGCTGCCCGAAACCCACCCACGACCCGGGGCGGGCCCGGCTCGTTGACAATGTGAATATTCACATTGACATGTTAATATTCACAATAATAAGAGTATAAAATTGGCCCGCGCCCCGTGGCTGCCCAAAACCCGCCCACGGCCCGTAGGCGGGGCGGGTCCGGTCCGGCCTGTTGACAATGTGAATATTCACATTAACATGTTAACATTCACATTGATAAGAGTATAAGATTGGCCCATGCCCCGTGGCTGCCCGAAACTAGCCTATAGCCCATGGCGCAGCCCGGGGCGGGTTCGGCCCGGCCTGTTGACAATGTGAATATTCACATTGACATGTTAACATTCACATTGATAAGAGTATAAAATTGGCTCGCGGCCTATGGGCGGCCAAAAGCCCGCCCGCAGCCCGGGGCGGGCCCGGCCAGGGCCATTGACAATGTGAATATTCACATTGACAATGCGAATATTCACATTGACATGTTAACATTCACATTGATAAGAGTGTAAAATTGGCTCGCAGCCCGTGGGCGGCCCGAAACCCGACCGCAGCCCGATGCAGGCTTGGCCTGACCCGTGACAATGTGAATATTCACATTAACATGTTAACATTAACATTAACATTAATAGGAGTGTAAAATTTGCCCGCTGCTCGAAGCTCGCCCACGGCCCGGAGTAGGCTCGGTCTGGCCCGTTGACAATGTGAATATTCACATTGACATGTTAACATGCACATTGATAGGAATGTAGAATTGGCCTGCCGCCCGTGGACTGCTCGAAGCCCGCCCACGGCCCGGGGCAGGCTTGTTTGGGTCCGGGCCCGAGCATGCCCGAGACCCTAGGCTAGGGCCTAGACCATCATTTTGAAGCCCGACCCATTAGTCCGCTTAAGACCCATTCAAGGCTCGGTCCGAGGCCCAACCCGTGCTAAGGCACAATGTCTTTTTTTGTGAAAAATAATAAAATTTTGGTAGAAAAAATTAAAAAAAACTAAAAAAAAATGGCCAGGCCTGCCCAAGACCGGCTTAAGCTCGAGCCTAGGCCTAGGCCGACCGGCCGGACCCGAGGCTGTCGTCTTCGGGTCGTGGGCCAATTTTACACTCCTATCAATGTGAATATTAATATGTCAATGTGAATATTCACATCGTCACGGGCCAGGCCGGGCCCGCCCCGGGCAGCGGCGGGCTTTGGGCTGCCCATGGGTCGCGGGCCAATTTTACACTCCTATCAATGTGAATGTTAACATATCAATGTGAATATTCACATTGTCAATGGGTCGGGCCGCGGGCGGGCTTTTGGTCGCCCACGGGATGCTGGCCAATTTTATACTCTTATCAATGTGAATGTTAACATGTCAATGTGAATATTCACATTGTCAACGGGTCAGGCCGGGCCCGCCCCGCGCAGCGGGCGGGCTTTTGGCCGTGCATGGGCCACGGGCCAATTTTATACTCTTATCAATGTGAATGTTAACATGGCAATATGAATATTCACATTGTCACGGGTCGGGCCAAGCCCGCCTCGGGCTGCTGTCGGGCTTCGGGCCACCCACAGGCTGCGGGTCAATTTTGCACTCTTGTCAATGTGAATGTTAACATGTCAATGTAAATATTCACATTATCAACGGGCCGGTCAAGCCCCGGCAACGGGCGGGCTTCGGGCCGCCCACAGGCCGCGAGCCAATTTTACAGTCCTATCAATGTGAATGTTAATATGTCAATGTGAATATTCACATTTTCACGGGCCGGACCAGGCTCGCCCCGGGCCGCAGACTAATTTTACACTCCTATTAATGTGAATGTTAACATGTTAATGTGAATATTCACATTATACATGGGTCGGGCCCCTACACATCGACGACATGAACATTCACATTGACGGTGTGAACATTCACATTAGGGGTATTTTGGTAATTATGTCACCCATAGGACTTATTGAAACATAAGAAAATAATATGAACTAAATAGAACATAAGTAGATGAAAAGGGTATTTTGGTCTTCTTATCTCAAATAGGACCTAATAGAATAATAAAAAAGAATATGGATTGGATGGAACATACGTAATTAAAGATGGATTTATGAAAAAAGTTCTCAAAGTAAAATGATTATGATTTGATGTGATATTTTGTCTTATTAATTTTTTAACTTATTATATCTTTTAATAGATAGTCCAAATCATTTTATCACATAATGTGTTAAATTAATCTATTTTATCTGTATTGACTAATTTAACCAAAATAAATCATGCCAAACAAAATGGCATCGACCTTACTTTTCTAGATTGTCTCAAAATAGCAAATGTTTTCCAATAACAAGTGGTACAATATCCACTTAATATATCATCCATATTTTCATTTCTAATGAGGTGGAAGAGAGAAAATAGAAAGAGATGTTTGGCTGGTGGATTTTTTGCTTCTTTTTAGCTAAAATTTATAAAAAGATAAAATAGGGTAAAATAATTAATAAGACAAAATATTACATTAAATCTATAATCATTTCATTTTTTTTTTCCACAGACACCACATCCAACTAAAAAAAATCCAACCGTCTTCTCAAATACAAAAAATTTAGCTTACTAATATAGCCAAAAATTAAAATAATGTACTAAAATAATTAACTTTCTAAACGAGGCCAAAGAGAGGAAGGATAAAGAGTGCGGAGTGAGGAATGAAATTCATTCCACATCATTAGAAATGAATTAAAAGTACTCAATCAAAACTCTCTTTCGACGACAATCATTATAAACGTGTCGTCCAACTAGTAATGATAGCGACTCCCACAAAATAAAACCTCCACAATCTCCAAAATAATATGAATCATTTATGTTACTGTCAGACATAATTTCAAAAAAAATTCAAACATATCAATAGTCAATACATCAGTGGGGTCATGTAGATCTCTTTTGTGGGGTCCCAAACATTTTCCATCTCCAATAATATATTGTTTTGATAATTAATTTTCCATTTTTGAGTCCTAATTTCTCTAGGCTAATTACTTGTTTTCAGTGTCTAGTTTTATTACTTTGTTGCTTGTACTAGTGTTGACATTCCTGGCTGATAATAAATTGTTTGAACTGAGTTTGCTTGTATCTACATTCTTCCCTCTCTGACATGAAATCCAATCTCAAGCACATACACCTAAGCTTAATATAGCTGTCTAATATTTGCCTAAGACTAATCCCAGTCCAAACCCAATCTCCAACACTACATTCTCTGTTTATTGTTGAAATATTACCCAATGATCCTAACTGAAAACTAGGAATTATAATCTTGGAAGAACCAATTGGTTTATTGCAGTGCTGATTTTTGTGAACTTTGCCAGGGATTCCAGATCATTAACATGAACCAAGTCATTGCATTAGCTCCTCGGCAATGCGTTTTCCAATCATGTCTTCAAGTTCAAAACTCCCCCATTGGTTTTGGAGGATCAAGGAGTCATCATCTAATGGTAATTGGCAGGAAGTGTTTACTCTATATCGCGATACGAGGAAAACCGGAGTTCAATTCACAGACCCTTCCTTGTTCCCTCCAATTTTCAAAGCTTGCTTATTCCTCTCCTTCAAACATGGAGAGTCTGTCCATGCTTGTTTGGTTAAGCAAGGATTAGAATCATTTTCTTCAATTGGAAATTCTGTCTTGGATTTTTATGTGAAATCTCAGGCCTTAAATTCTTCAGTGGCAGTTTTTGATTGCATGAGGAGCAGAGATTCAGTTTCATGGAATATAATGATTAATGGGCACCTAGGTCAGGGTGCTGTCAAGGAAGGTTTATGGTTGTTTTTGCAAGCTAGGGTTGCAGGATTTGAACCCAACAATGCCACCTTGGTGCTTGTAATTCAAGCATGTCGAAGTCTTAAAGCTATCTATGAAGGAATGAAAATTCATGGTTACATAGTTACTAGTGGTTTTTGGGTTATTACTTCTGTTCAAAACTCTCTTTTGAATATGTATGCGGACATTGAAATGGAGGCTGCACAAAAACTGTTTGACGAAATGTTTAGCAGAGATTTGATTTCTTGGAGTGTGATGATTGGGGCCTATGTGCAAAGTGAGGAAGCTGAGGTTGCTTTCCGATTGTTCCGAGAAATGGTAACCAAGAATGAAATCGAAATGGATGGGCAAATAATGGTACATGTAATTAAGGCTTGCATTCATTTGGGGGAAATTAGCATTGGAAGATTGGTCCATGGGTTTGTGATCCGTAGAGGTTTTGTTTATGATTCGTTTGTTGGAAACTCTTTAATTGATATGTATTCGAAGTGCCATGATATTGAATCTGCCTTGAAATCATTTAGGGAAATGCCTAGAAGGAATGTCGTCTCGTGGAATTCTCTATTATCTGGGTTTGTTAGTAATGATAAGTATTTGGAAGCTCTATTGCTGTTTGATTCAATGTGGAAGGCAGGAATTGATGCTGATGGCGTGACTCTAGTGAATCTTCTTCAAACATGCAAGCATCTTTTGGATCCAATTCACCTCAAATCCATTCATTTGATAATAATCCGGCGGGGTTATGAAGTTAATGATTTAGTGATGAATTCTTTAATCGATGCCTATGCAAAATGCAATCTCATTACACTTGCATGGAGCTTATTCAATCAGATGAAGAGAAGAGATACGGTAACGTGGAGCACGATGATTGCAGGGTTCACCCATTGTGGTATGCCTGATGAAGCCATTGCTGTCTTCCAAGAGATGAACCAAGTACAAAACAAGCCCAATGTGATTACCGTGTTAAATCTTCTCGAGGCTTGTTCCATTTCTGCTGATCTGAAAAGGTCACAATCAGCCCATGGCATTGCAATTCGCAGAGGCATGGAAGCAGATGTTGCAGTTGGGACTGCAATTCTAGATATGTACTCCAAATGCGGGGCAATAGAAGCTTCAGAAAGGGTCTTCGACCAAATTCCCAAGAAAAATGTTGTGTCCTGGAGTGCCATGATTGCAGCATATGGCATGAATGGCCTTCCGCATTATGCCTTGGCGTTGGTTGACAAAATGAGAGCCCACGGTCTAAGGCCAAACCCAGTAACAACACTATCTGTATTATCTGCTTGTAGCCATGGGGGTTTAATTGAGAAGGGGCTCTTGTTTTTCCAAGAGTTGGTTCAAGATCATGCTGTTGAACTGAGATTAGAACATTACTCATGTGTGGTGGACTTGTTGGCTCGAGCTGGAAAGCTTGATACTGCTATGGAGTTGATCAAGAAGATGCCTAATAATGGTTTAAAGCCTGGTGCAAGTGCGTGGGGGGCATTGTTGAGTGCTTGTAGGACTCATGGGAACAGTGAGCTCGGTTCCGGTGCTCTTTCTCACATTCTTGAATTGGAGCCATCTAACTCAGCTGGGTATTTGCTTGCGTCGAGCATGTACGCGGCTGGTGGCTTATGGGTTGATGCAGCAAGGATGAGATGGATGGTGAGGGGGAGAGGGGTGAGGATGGTGACTGGTTACAGTTTGGTGCATGTTAATGACAAGGCATGTAAGTTTGTTGCTGGAGATAAGCACCACTCATTTTCTGGTGAAGTATACCTTGTAAGTGAGCAGCTACATTTGTGTATGAAGATAGACAAGATGCATGAAGAAGCTGTTTTTGAATAGTCGAAAACTCGCCTTTTGTTTCAGTTGTTTTCATATATTTCCTGTTGGACAGATTTAAGATTTGTCCCTGCAAGCCTATTACGAGTTCATTTTTTGGCTTTGTTCTCATCAATGATCGGAAAGACAATTTTTTTTCTCCGTCTGGAAATTGGCGATGTCTTTTGGTCTGTTATTACCGGTAAGAGTTGATTACTTTTCCACACTTCTGATTGAAATTTGAATAGATTTGTTCCCATATTTACATGTTTATATAAATATGGAGTTGATTTGCAGCCTGCATACTCTATATGATACTCTGCAATTTGAGGGCTTCGCACCCAGCAACTTTCTTCTCTTCATTGTATTTTTTCTCTATCTGTCTCTTCCTCTCATTTGCATAAAAGTTCTTTTTAATCTCTCTTTTAATTGAAAACCTCACCTCACTGTCACCGATCATGATTGTTCTGTTGAGTCCAAAAGATTTAGAATTCTAATTCATATAAGAAATGCTTTTCAAGATTCAGCTTGAGAATTTTTCTTTTGACTTTCTTTTCCTTTTTCTGTAGTTTCTTGGAAACCAATTGGATCAATGATGTAGCGAAATTAGTGATTCAATTAATAAATATGCCTCATTCCTATTTTTATCTTACTCTGACAGATTATTTATTATATTTTGCAATTGACTATATTTGGTTCTATACAATTTCCTTGGGAAAACTTTTGACATAAACAGCAATGATGTAGCCATTAATCAGTTTGGCTTTTGGCTTTTTATTTTATTTTATTTTATTTTTTTATTTCCCCCCCTCCCCCCCCTAAAAGTAGAATAAGATGTGCCAAGTTTACTCAGTTCAAAAAAATAAAAAAAATAAATATTTTGTACATAGTTGTTATTATAGAATATTATAATTCACAATTTGATTCACACGATTGATATGAGTTTCAATCTAAACAATTTAATTTGTACTGTTTCTCACTACTATTTGCTATGATTTATTGTGATACATTCTCGTAAAATTAAAAAAAAAAAGAGATTAATCAATTATATTGGTATATGTGGATTTATATGCATATATATCAACAATTTATATACTAACATTTATGTCATTTTAAATATTGTGTGAATTTTGATATGTCTATTGATATACAAAATTATAGATTATGCAAAATAAAGTGAATTTTACGATTTGATACAATTAATGATTCACTGTTTTGGTAAAATTATTCATAATTCAATTCGTGATTTAACAATAATGTGCATTTATATAAGAGTATATATATATATGCTTGCTGTATAGTTTGATGAATGAATGAATTAATCTTCCCAGAAGTCCCATTCCTGAAAGATTAGCCAAGTTCAAGTTTATCCGATAGTTGTCCAAAACAGAAAGGAGGTAATCTTGGTAAAAAGGTTCAAATAGTAGGTGATTATTGGGTAGTTCGGAAGTACGGTCACGTGATACTTTATGATAGTATGATTGATAGAAAAGATGGAGTATTAATTATTTGTGTTGAGTAATTAAGAAATATGAGGGAATATAGTGAATAGTTATTAGTGAGAGAGTATGATTATATAGTATTATGAAACTATTCTACAATTTTCGCAAATCGTAACACAAAGTTACCCTTAACCCTCAGTTTTTAGTTTAGGTAAATTAGACTTTTTACTTTTATAATTTGATCAACATTTCATTTTGACCCCTATTATTTTAATTTAAATAATTTGATCAAATGCACTTTAAGTCAAGTATCAATTTAGTGCTTCTTACCAAATTTTTATTAATTTTTCTATGCGTACACCTCAACAGGTTGACAATTATTCCAAAATCGTTAATTTAAACCTCTAACTTAAACGGAGTGACTAAATCGAAACTAAACTTAAAATGTGAGGACCAAATTATTCAATTTAAAATAAGGAATCAAAGTGAAATTTCAATCACCTACCAGTGTTATAAATGTGTAATTTAACCTTTTAGTTTTTATTTTTCTAGTGATTTCTTCTCCATGGAGCTCACATCACTTGATCTGGAATAGTGTATTCTTCAAACTAATCACATTGTTTAGGTCTATTTTGGAAAGTCAAAAAAAAATCAATTTATTAATTTATTGACTTATTTAGATTATTATCTTTCTACTTTTTTTACATGTTTTTTCATAATAAGTCAATAAACCAAAAAAAAAAAAAGACACTTCTCAAAATAGACCTTAGTTCCAATTTCTTGGGTTTTTGTTTTTCATATTTTTTTTAATGAATTTTTTTTAATATTTTAAGCAAAATTTTAAATTTTTAGATACAGTTAATATAAATACAATTAAAAAGTATAATATTTATGAAAAAATTCTCTAAACATTAAAAATACAAAAAAAAATGAAAATTAAGTATATTTTAGTATTCTTGTGCATTTATTGATATTTTAAAAAAAAAATTACAAATATTTTACTTTTTAGGTATATCTAAGTTAGATAAATTTAAAAAGTAAAACAAAAAAATTGATTAAAATATTTTAAAAAATTCACTAAAAATAAAAATATATAAAAAAATAAAAAAATTAATTTTTAAAAAATTGAAACCAAATAAGATGAATGTTGTAAAAGGTTAAACAAGCAGCATCATCACAATACACAATCTCATCTAACCTCTTTTCTTGTTGCCACCAACACCACTGCGATGGCTCCCTCATGCCTTCACCATTGAGATCTTCTCCATCATGACCAAATCTACTGACAAGAACAGTTCTACCGTGACCTCTTCTTATTGAAATTCCAAATTTGATTTCTCACTCTGTTACGCTATGCTTGGTTGAGGGATTTGGGAAAGAATTTGAAAAGGGAACGAGAAAGAGAAACAGTGTGTGAAATTAAGTGAAATGGAGGTATATTTTATTCACATTTCACCTATTTTTTTTCTTTTCGTTTCCATATTCTTTTCAAAATTTTCCAACTAAACACAACTAAGTTTATTTATTTATTTTTTCATTTTTGTGAGTGGTTGATGGAAGGAAGCTAAGGTGAGGGTGAGGATGGGGATAAGCGGAGGGGTTAAGGGAGGTTGGGGAAAGATGGGAGGGGCAATAGTGGCAATAAAGGTGCTGAGATTATGGAATGGGAGTGGTGGGTGATGGACTTGAAAAATTACAATAAAAAAAAAATTTAAATCCTTTTATGCTATATCAAATTAAAATGTAAGTTGATTTTTTTTTAATTAAAAAAAAGGACATTCAGGTGATAAACTTAAATTAATTTTCTTTATTTAAAGGTCCACATGATCAAATATTAAGGCCTTTTTTGGCTATACGAAAAAAAAGTCAATTTATTAATTTATTTAAATTATATTAATTCTTTACTTTTTTAACACGTCGTTTCATAATAAGCAAACAATCAAGCCTAAGTCTATAAAAGCAAGTTTATGCGAAATAAATACAGCCTTGCTTGGTTTATATTTTGAGATATTATTTCAACAAAAATACTTGGTCCACACAATTCCTTTGCCCTGAAACCGCCCGAATGATATGGCTTCCAAATTTTCAAAAACAGATCCACGCTCTCTTTTTACACTCCTCTCTCTCTCTCTCCTATAGCACTAGCACAATGACAGCGACTACCATCACCGATACTCGTTAGTGAGAAAACTAGAGAAAGAAAGGAGACCCAACTCAGGGAGAAACAAAAGAGACCCAACTGATTGTACTCTCTGGTTGTCCCTCGCCAACGACGGACTCGCCCTCTAGCGTCGACTTTGTCTCGCTCTCTTTGACGTTGCTCTCTGTCCTCGACTCTTTTTTTTTTTTGGCAATCAAATCTCATTCATTTGAATAATACTTAACAACTACACATTTTCCTTCTGAATTCAGAACTGATTTGGATTTTTCAATTAAACTGATTGGGATTGAAGTTTGATTTTGTTTGATATAAAGATTGTTGAAAGTAAACAAAGCCCTTGATTTTTTTTCTTTATTTATTTTTTAATTTGTTGAATCTAAGCTTACCTGAGACTCGCACCAAAGAGAGAGAACCGCTGGAAGGAGAGAAACATCGGAGATGGAGAGAGAAGAGGTGGTCGGTTCGTCGGTGGTGATTGTCGGTGCTGATAGGTGGTTTGTTTGAAAATAGTAGAGATAGAGAGAGTTTGTTCAGAAGGGTATAGGTTTGGGGGTAATTATTCAGTTTTTTCGGAATATACACACGTGACACTTAGGCTAAGTTTGGCTACTTCAAAAAAAGTCAAAAAGTCAAAAAGTTATTCAAAAAGTTAAAAAGTTAACACTATTCACCAAAAGTCAACAATTACGGCTGCACAACTCCCAATTCGAATTTTTCCTTACAAATCAATTTTTACAATTTTTTATTATACATTTTTCCATAAAAAGTCAAAAAGTTAACCCAAACATCCATATTTTCAACCTCAACTTTTTAGTCTAAAAAGACAAAAAGTGCACTTTTTTAGTCTTCACAAACTTGGCCTTAATAGTATTGTGATTGGTGGTGAGGGATATGAGCAGGCATAATAAATGATGATTGGTTAGGGAGTACAGACACGTGATATTTCAAGAATATTTTATAATTTCCCAGTAGTCCATTTGAGAGAGTCTGTGGTCTTGTTTGGTTTGGCTTTAGGAAAAAGATTTTGGAGAAAATTTTTGAAAATTTTGTTTAGTTTGTAATTTTTTTTAAAAAATTTCCAAAATCACTTTCTCTCTTCTACACATTAATCAATCACTTTTTCTCTCTCCTCTTTCCTTTTCAATTACTTTTTCTCTCACATACATCTACTCAATTACAACAAAATATCAAATCATCCCAAACTCCAAAGGTTTGTTTGAAAATAGTAGAGATAGAGAGAGTTTGTTCAGAAGGGTATAGGTTTGGGGGGTAATTATTCAGTTTTTTCGGAATATACACACGTGACACTTAATAGTAATTGATTGGTGGTGAGGGATATGAGGGGCATAATAAATGATGATTGGTTAGGGAGTACAGACACGTGATATTTCGGGAATATTTTATAATTTCCCAGTAGTCCATTTGAGAGAGTCTGTGGTCTTGTTTGGTTTGGCTTTAGGAAAAAGATTTTGGAGAAAATTTTTGAAAATTTTGTTTAGTTTGTAATTTTTTTTAAAAAATTTCCAAAATCACTTTCTCTCTTCTACACATTAATCAATCACTTTTTCTCTCTCCTCTTTCCTTTTCAATTACTTTTTCTCTCACATACATCTACTCAATTACAACAAAATATCAAATCATCCCAAACTCCAAAAC